AAGTGTGGAGCTGGGACAAGACTGACAGACTATCACACAGTGATAACGTGGGGTGGACGCCGTTAAAATCCCATTCACTTATACAGATGGACAGCGAGCTAGGGGTCCGGGCCCACTCCACCCTCTACATCTCAAGGAGGGCCTGTGGCCGGGAGCGTGCCCCAGAGGCGTGGAGGCCCTCCCCAGGAAGGCCTGGCCCCAGAGGTTTGGTTAGTGTTGGAAGCAGGAGGAAGGGACTGAGGTCCAAGAGGACAGCCTGGGGCCCACACAAGAGGGCCACAGGAGACCCCTCTCAGCACAGCCCTTCATCTGATGGGTGAAGGAGGGGTGGCACTCTAGGGTGGAGCCTGGCAGCTTCTATTGTCTTGGAAAAAAACAGATCCCCAAGGATACCCAGCCCTGGATGTGCCAAACTCAGGAGACAGCTATATCAGGAATTAGGGCTGGGGCATGAGCAGAAACCACAGAGGCCATCCTCAAGGGGTAATTCCTGGGGAAAGAGCCTTTAGCACCACCAGGCTCCAGGAAGATGAAAGAGGCCGAGACTCTGAGCCTTTCAAGGGAGGCTGGGGGCTGCCTCAGGCCCACTGGCCTGGCCCCGCTCCCTGCCACTGTGTAGCCAGGGCGAGGCCAGGTGGGATCATAGGAAGACCTTGGCTAGGGCATCAGCACCAGCACTGGCGATAAGTGCCTTGCTGGGATGGCAGGCCACTGCAAGGGTGGCCTCCTCATGCTTCTTGCGGTGGGCTGTGATCTCCTGCACACGTATTGTTGTCTAGGCTCCATAAGCGCAGAGAGCAGTCATGACTTCCTGACATCAAGAACACACCATTGGGGTCCACGGCTAGGCAGGTGACTGCGTCCAGGTGGGCAACCATGGGGTGCACGGATTTGCCTGTCCGATTGTCCAGGAACCGGATACCCCTATCGTCATGGGCAGTGATGGTGATGGGCTGATTGGGGTGACTCACCACCTGGTTGATCTGTGTTGGGCCACTGCTCCCTCGGGACTTCAATGTGAGGAGGGCGCTGCCAGCTTTCAAGTCATAAAGAACGGTGTCACCAGAACGAAAGGAAGCACAACATGAGCAGGCTCGGTGCTGGTGAAGGCCACTGTGGTGGGGATCCCGTGTTCTCCAGACATGGGGAAGGTACAGAGGCAGCTTGGACCACTGCTGCTGGGGTCCCAGATGCGGACGGTGCCATCAGCGGAGCAGGATGCTAGGCGCTGGGAGGTGGGACTGAAAGCCAGACCCCACACAGCGTCCCCATGGCCTTCCAGGTCGTGGCTCAGCACGCTCCTGGCACACCCCAGCCCCGGCCTCATGAAGGTTCCTTTGACTTCTCCTCAGCCGTCTTCATCATGGACACTATCGGGGGCAGGGAGGTGAGCCTGGGGGACTTGGCAGATCTCACCATCACCAATGACAACGACCTCAGCTGTGATCCGTCTGACAGCAAAGACGCCTTCAAGAAGACATGGAACCCCAAGTTTATTCTCTGCTCACACTATGATGGCATCCGCTCACTGGCCTTCCACCATAGCCAGTCAGCACCGCTCACTGCCTCTGAGGATGGCATCCTTAAACTGTGGAACCTGCAGAAGGCAGTTACAGCCAAGAAAAATGCTGCCCTAGATGTGGAGCCGATTCATGCTTTCTGTGCTCACAGGGGCCCTGTGCTGGCAGTCATCATGGGCAGCAACAGCGAGTACTGTTATAGCAGTGGGGCTGACGCCCGCATCCACATCTGGAAGATTCCGGACCTCGACATGGACCCATACGATGGCTACGAACTTGTGATCTTTCTATCTCTGCCCTTTGAGTAGCAAGGATTATAGACTAGTATTGCCAGGCCTGGCTTGAAAGCTTATTCTTGCTCTTTAAAAAAAAAAGAAATTCACTTGCAGGATTACTCCCTCCATTAGCTTACTGAGTACTGGTTTCTATAAAGCTTTTTTTCATATATCTTTAGTTTTGGTTAATCAGTGCCTTACTCATTTTTTTTTTTTTTTTTTTTTTTTTTTACCCCATGCGACTTAACCCTGTAATCCCCAGTATTGCCCCTCTTTACTTTCACATCATATGTATTCTACTCCCTATCTCCACCCCTCCTTCTCCTTCTCAGGGGTCCAGTGTCTGGGAGGAGCAGTACTCCCTTTGCAGTTTGAATAACTTGGTTTGGCCATGTAGCGCTGAGTCGAAAGGGCTTCCAGCTGGTTTTGGATGCTGGGCTCTCTTGCCTGCTTTCCTGTAGATATTCCCAGGGTTTACTAATTTTCTTTACAGAGCTTGTTTCTGGCAGCAAAAGGGTTCACTGAGTTTTACCCTGTCTGTGTTCTTTCTTGGAGTTCAAGTCATGAGATTCCTAATCCACCATCTTTCTTATTGTGACTTAGGAAATGTCTTAAGAGGACATTTTTTTTTCTTCTCTTGTCTCAGGCTGCAGTGTTGTGAAGTTGTGCTCTGTGGAGCAGTGGAAGACACCAGGCAAAAGAGAAAGAGAAAAACGATGAACATTCCAAGGATGGAACAATAGACAGATGGAAGAACCTAACTGGATTAGTCATTCACTTCAGGACTTCTGTGGGAAAGAATAAACACTCTTATTACTTAAACCACTGTTATTTGATTGTTGTTGAATGTATTCTTGTTGTCGAAGTGAAAACATTAAGGTTTGATTCAGTGTCTCTAAAGTACTAGAATCTGCTTTTAATCACTAAGAAATCCGAGGGAGACAAATCAAAATTGCATTTGTAAGAGCAAAGGGGAACCCAGGAACTAGTGACAGATAACTGAAGCAGATCATTTTGAATAGTATAGAAATTTTTAACAATATTAGTTCTTTTAGGCATGAACACAGAATTTTTTTACATTTATTTATGTTCTTTTCCTCAGTGTTTATGGTTTCTAACACACAGGTCCTTCACCTTTATGTTAATTTTCTTATTTCTAAGACTTATAAGTTTTGTAGGTTTTATGAACAGGTTGTCTTCATAGTTTCCCTTTTGGGGCTTGTTAGTGTATAGAAATATTGCTGGTTTTTTTCATTTTGATTTTGTATCCTACAACTTTACTGATTTCATTTATTCATTCTAAAATTTGTGATGGAGTGTTAGGATTTCCTATTATCTGCAAACAGAAAAGTTTACCTTCTTTTCTGTTTGGATGCTTTTAATTTTTATTTTCTTACCTAATTGTTCTTCTAGTCTTATACTGAATAGAAGTGGTATGAGTGGGCATTTTTGTCTTAGTCATAGAGAAAAAGCTCTCAACTTTGCATAATTGAGTACATTGTTAGCTGTGGATGTGTCATATATGGCTTTTATTGTATTGTGAGACATTCCCACTATAGTAAATTTGTTTAGAAATTTTATCATAAGAATGTGTTGAATGTTGTCATATGCTATGAGATGGTCAAATCTCTGTCTTTCATTCTGCTAATGTGGTTAGTCATATTTTTAGATTTGTATATATTGAGCCACCCTGCCTTCCTAAGAGAAATCTCAGTTGACCTTTTCAATGTGTTGTTGAGTCTGGTTCACTAGAATTTTATTGAGGACTTCTCCATCTATGCAACAGGAATGTTGTTCTGTGCTTAAAACATTTTTAAAGTATCTGTGTCTGGCTTTAGCATTAGGGTAATACTGGCCCAATAAAATGAGTTTAGAAGTATTTTCTCTTCTTAGTTTCTTGGATGAGTTTTCTAATGTTTAATTAGTAGTAGTTTTAGAATTCAACAGTGAAGTCATCTGATTCTGGATGGAAGACATTTTATATTGATCTGTATATAATTTCGATTTCTTCATGACTCAGTAGTGTTATGTTATACATGTTTAGAATTTATCTATTTCTTTTGTGTTATTCAGTTTGTTGGTGTATAATTATTTATAATATCCCCTTAAATTCCTTGTATTTCTATGGTGTCAATTGTAATGTCACCAATTTGTGAAGATTAAGGTGGATTCTTTTTCAGACAATTTAACATTTCTATTTCCTTTTGTTTGGTTAGTAGAGATTTGTTTGCTTCCTTTGATTGTATTTTCTCTTGCTTCTTCATGTTCCTATAGGATTGATCTGTTGTCTGCAAGAAGAAGCAATCAGTGCTGTATGGTTTTTATAGACTGATTTTTGCGTGGAAAAGAACATCTTTGTTTAACAGTTTGTAATATGAGAAGAGAGACTAATCCTTTGAAGAGGACAAAAACCTTATAAAAATAAATGATTAGTTGGAAAATATTAGAGGAAGAAGATGGTGTACAAGCGACACCAGGTCTTACAACTCAAGAAGAAAATGCAAAACGTCTTCAGAAGGACACGTCTACCTAAAACATAAAAGTTTGCAGTGGATCAAGCTGAGAGTGAATAAGTGCTCACACTCCAAAACTGTAAAACACCAGAGAAACAATTTACTATAACAGCATATCAAATGAGGACTATCATATATATACATATATGCATAAACTTAAAATGACATGAAAAAAGAAAGAAAATCATGATACATACGATTCTGAAAATCAACATACTATTTAAAAGTAATCAACTAGAGCCAAATGAAACTTCTGGCATTAGGAATGGGTTACATCTAATTAACTTGGTGGCCAAAAGGGTCCCACGGGAATCCCCAAACAACATACGCTATTGCCAAGGCTATTGGTTGCCCTCCAGAAACTGATGGTAAGGCCCTATTGCTGAAGACAAAAACCTACATAACTCACTGAACACAGAGAAATCGACCTGTTGCCTATCCAGCACCTCTATGAAACGGAACCCACACCTGACACTGTTTGAGTGGCCAAGAACCTAAGATGAGATAGGCCAGAGACTTAGAGGAAAACCAAATGCTACTGTTCTGATAAGCATAGGAATAAAATGGCTCCAATGACATTCTGTTATATTTCATAGATCACTGTATTACTCAGCCATCCTCAGAGAAGCTTCCTCCTGTGGCAGATAGTAACAAATACAGAGACCCACAGACAGACAATACACAGAGATGAAAAACCTTGTATCACTTAGTCCTAAATGAAATGTTACTATGGAATCCTTCCCTTTAGGTCTCAGGGAACTCTGCAGAAGAGTTTAAGAGCCAGAGGGGATGGGAGACACAAAGGAAACAAAACCTTCTTAATACAGCAGGATTGGTGTGCATAGGAACTCACAGAGACTGTGGCAACTTGCACAGGTTCTGCAAGGGTCTGCACCAGTTGGGGCTCCAGCACTGAGAGGAGAAATGAACACAAGCCTCCACCCCTAACCCAGAAACTAGCTCCAATTGATAACTACTTACAAATGAAATACTAGTTTTCTCCAAATGAGTCTCACTGGGGACACAAACCACTCTTGAGGGGAGGCTCCATGCCCAGCAATAGATGAACAACACAAAAATGCACTCAGTGGCATCTTCAGAGGTGCTTTGTCTCATAATGTTGTGTCAAATAATTTTTTGTTAACCTTACAGATCCTTTGCATATATATTATGGCTTCCAGTTTTGTGTTTTTATGGGATTCTTGTGTGTGCAATCCTGTGTGCCTCAGCATCTGAATATGTTTCCTGTGCTTTTTCTTTAGCTCTTTTTATCCTTTAGTTTGTTTATTTGTTTTGTCCTATTTGGGTTTGTTTGTTTTATTTTATTTTATTATTATTCCTTAGATACCTGTTTGTTTTCTAATGAGAGACAGAAAGACATGGATCTGGATGGAAGGGGAGGCAGGGAGGGACTGGGAGGAGTTAGGGGAGGGGAAACAATAATCAGACTACAGTGTATGAAAAAAACCTGTTTTCAATAAAAGAAAAAAGTAATGGACTTGGACTTTTAGAAATGAATCATATAGACATTGAAATTAATAGGTAAATTAAACATTAGCTGTAGCTAAGACAGAAGCTGAACTAGAAAATGAATCTATATAATTATTTGGAAAGCACTTCAAAGAATTAAAATATTGGAAAATATGAAACATCCTGAGATACTGGGGTTATGAGAAGCTGAAACATCTACTATGAATTTCATTAAAAAAGAAAAAGAAAATGATGGAGAGGTAATAGTCAAGGTGGCAGTCCAGCATCATTTAGAACAAACAATAAGCAAACAAACAAACAAACAAACAAACAAACAAAAAACCGAGTCCTAACACAAGAGAAACACAAGTTTCTTGGCAAAATAAGTAAAATAAATCTACATGTAGACATATTTCAGTGAAGCTACAGAAGGTCAAAGCTAAAGTATAGTGAAAGTAACTTTAGAAATAGCACAAGTTACTAGCAAGGAAAAACTGGTTTGACTGGCTGAAGACTTTAAGATGTTTTAGAATTTGAGACGGGGGCGGTGGTGGCACACGCCTTTAATCCCAGCACTCGGGAGGCAGAGCCAGGTGGGTTTCTGTGAGTTCTAGGCCAGCCTGGGCTACCAAGTGAGTTCCAAGAAAGGAGCAAAGCTACACAGAGAAACCCTGTCTTGAAAAACTAAAAACTAA